GACTTTTTTATTGCTTCTTAAAATAATTTTTAGAATATATTTTATATCAAAATATTATGATAATTTTGTTCTTGATAATTAAGATGACAGTGTATCTCGTGATCGGTCGCTCGGTTTTCCATAGTTGTTCCATCCCTAGCATGTGCCACTATAGAATCTCTCTCTCTCTCTCTCAACTCTGGCAATTCAAGCATTTGCGAGGTTAGAAAAGTAAGATTCCCACATATCAAGTCAAGTTGCATGATTTTGCATGAGTTGTTTGATGTTGTAACGTCAATAAATCGTTAGTCGATTCCCACTTATTCAAATGATTTTTATTTCATCTAGCATTCGATTAAAATTTTTACACTTTTTTGCATTTATTATTTATATTTATAATTTTTTTTAGAGAAGAGAAAATAATTTACATATCAAACCTTCTGCTTTTCAAAAACATTAAAACTTTATTCCTTTCGTAAATTTTAATCAAATATGTAATTAAACAAGCATTCATTGTTTGTATTTAACCGAACCAATCCTCAAACAAAGTGGATCAAAGCAGGGGCGGAACCAGCTTTTCCTTTGCGGGTGGGAAATCACAAATGAGGCGGCATGTAAGCAACAAACATAGTGGTGGTATTGTGCTCAAATAGACTTCACAGTTGACATTGACTCGATGTGCATGCACCAAGTAAAATGCAAGCAATAGACATAGCACCATAGTGAGGGCATCTATGCACTATGTGAATGAGAGAAAAGAAGAGAGGGGCGGCTCAATGGTTGTGTGTGAATTGGACCGTCAAAGGAGAGAAATTAGGCAACTAACTCTTTGTTCAGACACACAAAAATTAAGGGGATAAAATCTAAAAATTACTCCATATGATGGTTAAAAATAAATTTTGAGAGTGTGGGCAATTGCCCAACCTCAGCCATATATGATTCCTCCCTTGGATCAAAGAGATCAAAAACAGCAAAGCCCATTGCTTTTTTTTTGGAAGATTTTAGTGCATCATATGGAGTAATTTTTTCATGCATTTGTTCCACCATAATATATCACTGTCCATCAGTTTTTCAATAGTTTTTTTGGAAGATTTTAGTGCACCAAATCTCATACTTGAAATCCCAAACTTGTACTGTATCTCCTACAAAAAAATAAAGAAGGCAAAGGAAACTTCCATATGAACAAGAGAAAATGCAATAGAGAGCTTACAATGCGAGTTTCATGTATATGCTTGACTTCTAATATTATTAGAGTACGATTTTTTTAATGGAATTAATAAGGGCCATGCATAGATTCATTAATATAACAACAACATCAAGCCTTTATCCCGCCACATAGGATTGATTATATGAATCATTTTTTCTTCATTGTATCATGTTAAGAATCAAATTTTCATTTAAAACTAATAAAGAAATGACATTTCTACTGATTTCTAATCAAGTCTTTTAGATCTACCTCTACCTTTCTTAATATTATTAAGCCAAATCTACTACATCTACTTTCCTAACCGGGTGATTGGAAGGGCGTCATTTTATGCGACCAAATCATCTAAGGCGACTCTCTCTAATCTTATCTACCACTGGAGCTACTACAACCTTTTCACGTGTATGCTCGTTTCGTATCATGTATCTAAGAGTAAAGCTACTCATCCACCTGAGCATCCCCAGCTCTGCAACCCTTAACTTAATTGTTTGCTTCTCTTTCTGTAAAACCCTTCAAAAAGCTGATTTTTTTTAGTGCAGTTCGTCTGTACGAACTGGATTTAGTACTGGGGATTTGATCGGGTTTATTGTATCGTACGATTTCACTGATTTCATCGATTGACTACTGAACATTGATACTACTGAGCATTGATATGGACATTGATAGATATAGATACTGTATTGATAGCATGAACATGGACATCGTACTACTGCCTACTGTTTCTGTACCGTATTGACTGTCGTATAGATTCATTGTTCCGTATTGCTTTTCTCGACTGATTTCATTGATTTGACCGTATTGATTTGATTGACGGATATTGATTGATTGAATTGAAATGATTGATTTGCCTGCCGCTGCATTGACTGGTTTTATTGACTATTGATTTTCGGATTGCATCGACTACTGATTTGATTTCCACTGTATAGACTCATTGACCATTGACTGATTCAGATTGATAGATTGACATGCATATTGATAGCATCGCCGTGCTTTGATTTCAGTTATAGGTATTAGGTGACCTGCTGGGCTTTGTAAAGCTCATTATATGTGGTTGATATTTTCAGGTCCGAGCAAGGGAGCAGGAATGGAGATTGATCGAGACTGTCAGACGAATCCTTTCACTATGGATGCCTGGGGCGTCGCACTTTCAATGGCCAACATTATGCACCAAAAAGCATTGCAGGTCTCACCACCATCTTATAAAATTTTCACCTAAGTTTGAGGGCTACTTTTCTATCACACAACAGCCTATTTCCTTTACTTCAACCATCCAACTTAAAATCTACTAACAATATTCACATTTATTTCACTATCACTTTGAATAATAGACCAAATATATCTAAAACTTATACACTTATTAATGACTTGATTGTCTAAAGTTGCAATCCCCCACTAGATCTATTACTAATAAAGTTACACTCAATGTATTCAATTTTAAATATACTTAAATGAAAACTTTTAGACTCTAATGTTAACCTACATAATTCAAGTTTACCTTCAACTTCCTCTCTAGTCTAATCAGCAAGAAGAATCTCATTAGCAAAAAAAAAAAAAAAGATCATGGTATATCCTCTTGCAAATGTCTAGTAAGAACATCCATGACTATAACAAAAAAAGATATGGGCTTAAGGTTGATCCTTGATGTAATCCATCTGAAATTGGAAAATACTTGATCAAAACACATTGTGTTTGAACACAAGTAATAGTTCCTACATACTTATCTTTAATAAATTGAATACAAGCATTATTAACCTCTTTCTTTTCAAGAATTTATCCATAACACTTCTATTGGAACTTATCATAAGCTTTCTCTAAATCAATAAATATCATGTGTAGATCATCCTTATTTTCTCTATATTTCTCTATCAAATCTCTCAATAAATGTATAACTTTCATAGTAGAACTACCCATCATGAATCTAAATTGATTTTGAGAATCATTAGTGTTGCGGGCTAGAATATACGCGATGATAGAGTTGTAGTTTTACGTCTTTTCGTTGCACGAATATCCAGCTCACACACAGAGAACATAAGATTTTTTATGTGGGAAACCCTGGAAAGGGTAAAAGCCATGGGGCCTGGCCCAGTTGAAAATGATTATACTGAAACTTAAGTAGGTTACAGTGGGTTGACTCGCATTTGAGGGCGATCAGATTACAAATATCAACCATGTTGTTAAAATCTAGCGACTAGAGAGGATGAAGGTCCAGTGCCACTTGGTGGACTGGTAGAAGTTTGGTGCTACTTGAATGTTCGACCATTAGTTAGTAGCCTAGAACTTCAAAGTCAGGTTGTGTTCCAGTGGAAGTTCAGCATCATATGATATTCCAGTAGAACTCCGAGCGTCAAGTGATGATCTGATAAAACTTCAGGCGTCAAGTGATGATCCGGCATAACTTCAGGTGTCAAGCGATTAAACTCCAAGCGTCAAGGGGTGGTCCGGTGGAACTCCAGGCCTCAGGTGGTGGTCCAGTGCAAGTACGGGCCTCAGGTGGTGGTTGATAGAGCTCAGAGCCTCAAGTGGTGGTCCGACGGAACTCAGAGCCTTAAGTGGTGGTCTGACGAGACTTTGGGTGTCAGGTGGTGGTTTGGCGGAGCTCAGGACCTCAAGTGGTGGTCCGGCAAGACTTTGGGCATCAGGTGGTGGCCTCGTGGAACTCAGGGCCTTATGTGGTGGTCCGGCGAGACTCTGGGCGTCAGGTGGTGGTTCGGCGAAGCTCAGGACCTCAGGTGGTGGTCCAGCAAGACTCAAGCGGTGGTCGAGGAGGAGCAAGGAAGCAAGAGCGATCTCCGATCTCTCTCTTGAATCCTTTGGCTTGGGGTCCCTTTTCAAGAGAAAAGGGGCCCTATTTATAGATTTCTTGTAGTGGCATGGTCCATAAATAGGTGGAAGATCAAGGGCAAATGGGGAGTGGTTGGATGGACGGCCGATGGTGAATCCCTTGATAATGGACCATTTGATGGACATTTGAATGTCTTAGTGATGTCGGAATTCTTAGATCCTCGACTCGTTGGATTGTCTCATTGAGCCGCTCGATTTGTCTATAAGCACATTATGTTTGGAAACTGTTTGGTAATCCAAATTGTGGTTCAAACTTTTCAACAATGCTTCTAACCCTTGATTTGAACCCATTTGGGCTCGAATTGGGTTGGATTTGGTGTCATTGGGTTCATATTCTCGAGAAGTTCAATTCGACTGTAAGTTTAGTAAAATCGGAGTTTGAATGGTCTCAATTTTAATTTTAGAGGTTTCCAACTTGATTTTGCATCAAGATTCGTGCCCGATCAAGATAATTTTTTGATGATGCAATTAGTATCACGTCGTAATCTATGCTCCACGATAGCCATAGAAAGCCAACTTCTTATTCAATCTTACACAAGAATTTTACCTTCTTAAGATAGCTTCATGATATTATCAACTTGTCTAGCCACACATTAGGATTCATCTTCTTAGCCATAGATATTTGACTTTCTTTGTTTGGAGCCTATACCTCCAAATTCTTAGATTTTTCAAATATGTTCGACGATTTGAATTAAATTCTATTTATTAATTTCAATCAAAATATAATCCGAGCTAAAATATATATATTTCACTTTCAATGGTCGATGTCAGATATATGATATAAATCTATGTAAAAAAGAAGCAAAATCTTTCATATCATAATCATCAAATTTGAATTTGAGATCTACTCTTAGAAAATTATAGACTATAGCCCTTGGATCTTTGCTTTCCATCCAACGGTTACAATTCGCTCCTCTCGTTCAGTTAAAATCCTTCGCGCTAGGGTTCTTTGCAGTCGCGGCCGCAAACCCTAGCCGACTAGCCGAGGCAACGCGGAAAAGATAGAAGCCATGACGACTCGCTTCAAGAAGAATCGGAAGAAGCGCGGGCACGTGAGCGCCGGACATGGCCGTATCGGTAAGCACCGGAAGCATCCTGGCGGTCGCGGAAATGCCGGCGGTATGCACCATCATCGAATCCTTTTCGACAAGTACCATCCGGGTTACTTCGGTAAGGTCGGAATGCGATATTACCACCGCCTGCGTAACAAGTTCCACTGCCCCACTGTCAACATCGACCGCCTCTGGTCTCTCGTGCCTGAAGACGTCAAGGCTGCGGCTGCCACGGCGCCGGCCGATAAAGCGCCTTTGATCGACGTCACTCAGTTTGGATATTTCAAGGTCCTCGGAAAGGGCATGCTTCCTGCCTCGCAACCCGTTGTTGTGAAGGCTAAGCTCATCTCCAAGACTGCTGAGAAGAAGATTAAGGCTAACGGGGGAGCTGTGCTACTTACAGCTTGATTGGATCTGCATAATTTAGGCTCTTGGGTAGAGCCCTAAGGTCTTTTATCTGTTTTATCTTTTGATTTGAAAATCTAGGATATTTCTTTTAATTACTTGCTGGATTGTTTGTTTTCTGCAATGCTCGATGAGATGTCTATTATTAAAGAGAGTTGTTATGGTTGTCGTGCACTCATTTTAATTCTGCAAAAAAATTCTATTTTTATTTCAATATCGAGTATTGAACATTCCCAATGCTGTATTTTACTTCTTTCCATTGGACTCATCTGGTATTTGTAGATAGAAAACGTGTTTTTAGAAATGTTGATTTAATTCTCAAATTTTATTTTTTGTTTGAAAATAAAATTGTAGCAATTGCTGGAGTTTTGAGAAGTTTTGTAGAGTTTGAAATCAATGTAGGTCTTTAATCCCATCCAACCAAGCGATAGAATTCACAATATCTCGCAGTATTTTAAAATGTATTTCCTAATTTCTGGCAACCTCTGAACCATTGATGCTTTTATTTCTTTTCATTTGCATGCTTTTCAACCGTTGCTGCTTTGGAGACTTTTGGGTGTGTTTTGCATTTTTGTATGCCACTCAAAAAAATTTTTTTTTTCAGAATTTAACATGATGCAGGTTGAGGTATGTAATACCAGAAAAGTATTCCTTAATCCATGCCCTTCTAATTAGTGAAAACATTATGAACGTTAATTTTCTCTTATTTTCCTTTCCTTTCCCGTTTCAGATATTGAATTACCATGATAATATGTAGTTGCTGGAACAATGTTCTCTACGCCTTGTTGGTTGAGTTAATCCACAAAATATAGGGAGGGCTAGAAAGAATTTTATTACTGCAAAAGTTAGTACATGGGTAGTGCAATATTTGTTGAAAGATAGACGTTAAGAGGACCAAAGAGAGTGCGTGATAGAGAGAGAATGAGTGAGCTTTTTTTATTTTTTTCTAAATTTCATTTTTTTAATATATATGTGACAACTTCTTGTATTATCTCCTAACAAATGTATACATAATCGTGGTGAATTGGTGATCTCATATTTGAATCATGAAAACAATTTCTTTGTGAGTACGACCTTGCATTTCAAACCCTCAAATCATTTTTTTATGTTATCTAAAAGTTTTATTGTTAAAGATATGTATGCAGGAGCTATTACATGTGTTCAAACACAAGGTGGTTTGATCAAGTATTTTCCTATTTCGGTTGAATTACATCAAGGACCAGCCTTAAGCCCATATATTTTTGCTTTAGTCATGGATGTTCTCACTAGACATTTGCAAGAGGATTTACTTTGGTGTATGCTTTTTGCTGATGATATTTTTATTGTTGATAAGACTAGAGAGGGAATTGAAGGTAAACTTGAATTATGGAGGTCAATCTTAGAGTCTAAAGGTTTTCGGTTGAGTAGATCTAAAATTGAATATATAGAATGTAACTTTAGTAGTAATAAAGCTTTAATAAGAGCACACATTTTAGATATTTTGGATCTATTGTTCTTAGTGATGGTGAAATAGATGAGGATATTATCAACTGAATTCAAGTTGGATGGTTGAAGTGGAGGAATGCATCGGGCTTGTTATGTGATAGAAAAGTCCCTTTCAAACTTCAGGAAAAATTCTATAAGATGATAGTGAGACCTACAATGCTTTGTGGTGTAGAATGTTGTTCATTAAAAGAGAAGCATAATACTAAGTTAAGTGTTGCAGAGATGTGGATGCTCAGGTGGATGAGTGGCTTTACCATAGAGATAGGATATGAAATGAGCTTATACATGAAAAGTTGGAGCAACTCCAATGGAAGATAATATTAGAGAGAGTCTTATTGGATGATTTGGTCACATAAAATGGTGGTCTTCCGATGACCCAGTTAGAAAAGTAGAGGTAATAGATTTGACTTATGTTATGAAAGGTAGAGATAGACATAAAAAGAGTTAGTTAGAAAATATTAAAAATGATCTTTCTTTATTAGATTTAAATGAAAATTTGACTTTTAATAAGACACAATGGAGAAAAAGGATTCATGTAGCCAACTTCATGTAGTGGGACAAAGGTTTGATGTTGTTGTTGTAAAAGTTTTATTGTGCTGAATAATACTTGTTGACAGGAAAATCATATTATGTTGTAAATGGAGATATTATCATACTGTCATCAGGTGATTAGCTAGTCTAGATTTAATCAATAATGCAACTTTAAGAATTAAGGAGTTGTAAAGTGAAATTCTAAGTGACTCCCTAAATTGGTGGGATAGGATTTGTTTTGATAAAAGTGATGAATATCAGTATGCAAAATTGCATTATCGGTTTTAAATCATATTTGCTCTTGGATAATTTATCAAAGATAGAGAACTTGCGGTTGCTTAGTAGATTTTACTTCATTGATTATGTTTAGGTGTGTTAATTGAATTGCCTAAACTTTTTTAGTCTCATTTAGATATGCCGTTTATTGATTATCATGACGTTGAGCTAGCTCAAATTTATGGACGTTGTGTCTATTGAGGATAGTTGAAGAAATTATACATTGCTTCTGTATGAAATAACAAATAAATGAACTCTCTCAATTGTTTAGCCAAATCAAAATCCATTTATATCTAACGTAGTTTTGAGTGATGTTATTAGTTTCAAAATATCATTTTGAATTGATTTTAAGTTTACAATTGCCTAGTCGTGATCTAATTTGAGTGGAATCAAAATGTGTATATATTATATGACCTGACTTAAAATTGCCATGCTTGGAGATGAATCGAACTCAAGCTTAAAGTGTGTAATCCGCTCAAGTTTTAGCTTGTTGGTTCGATTGAAATTGAGCTTGAGCTATATACCTTGTCTTTTTTGAGCTAGCTCTTTAGCCTTCAAATAAATATAAGAATTGATATTGAAATTGCATATTAAATGAGATTAGTACAACACTTGAGCTTGAATTCATTAGATTAAGTATAACTTTTGTGAGGTGGCTCCCTTACAGATCGAATCAGTGGTGAAACTAGATAGGGGCTTGGGTTGGCTCTTGCTTCCTCTAAATTATAGGAGGGCCCTATTTAGTTATTATATACTATGGAGGTTGTCTTTAAATTTTCCTACAATTATCCATATTATAGATGTGAAAGGGTTAGATTAGCTCAAATGATAGATAAGATTAGAGAGAGTTGCCCTAGATGACTTAGTCTCATAAAATATCAGCCTTTTGATGATCCTATTAGGACTGTAGATATATTAGATCCGTCATATGCAAAAAGTTGACCTAAAAAAATTTAGACAAAAAGCATTCAAAATGACTTTTTATTAGATTTAAACGAGAATTTGACTTTTAATGGGGCACAATGGAGAAAAAAGATTCATATAGCCAAACCATACGTAGTGGGATAAAGGCTTGTTGTTGTTTTTTTATTCATATTTAGAAGATCCCATTTCTGCCACTATCTCTAATATTGACTTTTCAATTTTTTTTAAATCATCTTTCTACTTGCTAATGCTTGCTATCATATCATTTGGTTTTGGTGATATTATCTTGCATTGTGAAGGGATTTTATCTATTATGATATTCATAGAAGAATTAAACTGCCAAAAAAATCCTAAAATGAAGCTTTTGGATAAGACATGGAATAATGTTTGAGAAAAAAATATATTGATATCAAAAAATCATTTTTTTTTGTGTTAGGAATATTTTATTATGGATTTGAATTTGGTGCTTAGCAACTTATGGTACCAATTTATGAGAAAATGATTGGAAAGTCACGAGATTTTTGTCTGATTTTTTTCCTTTTTAAATGGATTTGGTTTAGAATAGTTATCTATTTAAGAGAAATGATGATTCAAAATATATTGAGGTTTTGAGCGTATTAAAGAGAAATGATGAAATAATTGCTAGTATTATGGTATTTGCGCTTGTTGTAGTAGACATGTTTACAGAAATTCATGTAATGTGGATATCTTGGTTTAGAATTTATTTTGGATAAAATTTCCCTTTTGATAAATTTTCCGAAGTTTGTGTATTATTGTTATAGCTTAAGATTAGTAGTTCGAAAACATAATTATTAGTCAAATGTTATTAAAAATCAATTAATTTTAAGTAGATAGATTTAAATATTTTGGATCTATTGTATAGTTGCGTATATCTGTTTGATTTTGGATTTGATGGCTGTGGAAAACATTTGTTCTTAGCCAAGTTTAATGGGGTAGAGATTAGTATGCTAACATATGTGTGAATTAGGAAGGTGATTGTAATATATGTTTATTTGATAGAAGTTGGGAGTGAGGTTAGGTTTTTGTTTTCGGTTTAAGCCAATGGAGCTTTTATGGAGTTTGGGTTTCATGTCCATTAGCTTTGGCTTCAATGCAATTTATAATTAATATAATTCAAATATTTTTAGCACTTAATGCGTTTTATATCAAGGTTTAGCTTTAAGCCCATATATGTTTTGCTTTAATCATGAATGTTTTTACTAGACATTTGCAACAGGATGTACCTGGTGTATATGCTTTTTGTTGATGATATTCTTCTTGTTGAGAAGACCTGAGAGGGAGTTAAAGGTAAGCTTGAATTATGGAGGTCAACTTTAGAGTCTAAAGGTTGTCGTTTGAGTGGATCTGAAATTGAATACATTAAGTATAATTTTAGTAGTAATTGATCTATTGGGGGGATTGACTTAGGACGATCGAGTCATTAATAAAAGAAAACAACTTCTTCTACATAAAAAAAGATCATTAATAAAAGTACATGTTTTAGATATCTCAAGTCTATTGTTCAAGTTGGATGGTTGAAGTAGAGGAATGCATCGGATATTTTGTGTGATAAGATGGTGGTAGGCGTTGAATGTTTGCCATTGCAAGAGAAGTAGAAAATTTAAGCGTTGCAGAGATGATGATGCTTAGGTGGATGAGTGGCTTCACTCTTAGAGACAATGCGAAACAAGTATACACGTGAAAATGTTAGAATAGCTCTAGTGATAGCTAAGATTAGAGAGAGCCGTCTTAGATGGTTTGTTCATACAAAATGTCAGCTTTCTGATGACCTGGTTAGGAGCATAGATGTATTAGATTTTACCTATGTTAATAAAGGTCGTGGTAGACCTAAAAAGATTTGGTTATAAAATATAGAAATGATATTTTTTTATTAGATTTGAATGAGATTTTGACTCTTAATAGGACATAATGGATATAAAAGGCTCATATAGCTGTCCCCATAATGGGATGAAGGCTTATTGTTGTTGCATTGTGTTTTATGTTGCTCCCTTCTGTACTTAGGTCATAATGAAACTGCAAAGCTTT